TAATATTGTGTTGGTCATACTATACAATGATTTATAGCTTGTCTTTACTGAATAATACAGAACATAAAGAGCTTTAAAAAATAATTGCATATTAAATCACAATCGCAATATTGGTAAAAAAAAATCGCAATTAGATTATTTTCCAAAATCGTTCAGCCCTAATTTTGATACATTTAAATTAATATACAAAATGATTTGATTCTCATAAACTACATTTTTTTCATCATCTAAAAGTAGTAAAATTAATTTAACATTATGAAATATTGACTAAATCCAAGGGATTTTTCATTAAAAGACAAAAAGTATGAATAAAAAAAACTGTAATATTTAACACTACATTATGTCTGTTTCATGAGTGTTTTTGTATCACTGTTTATGAGATGAGTTTTTTTTTTTTTGACGCTGTTAAAAGTTTAGAACAACAGGCACTTTGCTCTTAATGGCATTTACAGTTCTCATAGAAAACATGAATTGAAGCACATAATACTGACCAATTTAAACAATTGTAAACAAAGGAAACAATTTGCTTCATTTTACCTTGCAACTTAGGAAATCATCTAAAACTTACTTTATCAGGTAATTGTGACAATAACGATTTTAAAGGGGTCATATGATGCTTTTTTAAAGATCATTATTTGGTGTATTTGGTGTAACAGAATATGTTGACATGCTTTAATGTTCAAAAAACACATTATTTTCAAATACTGTACATTATTGTAGGTCCTCTATGCCCCGCTTGGGTGCATTATGCAAATATTTCCACATAGAGAGGTAGATATGTGGGGGAGTGTTAGAACGAGCCGTTTTAGGTAGTCGTGGCAGAGTCTTAACTTTGATAAAGAATATCTCTTTGGTTTTGAGACTTTAGTCTTTGCAACTTCAGGGACTTATCTATGCACAATCAGCTTGTAACACTCAAAAGAGAAAGGAAAACTTGAAATCGCATCATATGACCCCTTTAAGTCATCTAACACCAAATTTTATGACATTGTAAATTCAGTAAAGTCATTTACTTACTTGAAAACCTCACTTTTTACAGTGACACACACAGTACTAGCCCACATACACCAGCTTATACTTACTTTGCAGTTTTTTACTAGGACTGTCTCCATGAACATGTCTGCGAGGGAGGCAGGGGGATGGCTGAGGCAATGGTAGGGACGACACATCATGGGTTTGCAATTTGTACCAGTGTGGCTGGTCATCCAATACAGCTGTTTCCAGCTCGATCAGAATCTGGTCAAAAAGAAAGCCACGAAAGGGCGATTTTAACCATGAAAGAATAAGTATTTGGAGGCCATATAAGGACCCAAAGAACTACCAGATACACATTACACCTGAGAAACAACACTTGTCTGCTTCAGAGCAACTGCACACCAGGGGCATGTATAAATTAGCATACAAACAAAATGAACTTCAAAGAGCATACTACTAAGTTCCTACCAATTGGGATTTATAAAAAATAAACTTCAGAAAGTGCTTTGAAAAACTTACTATTCTTATGCATACCAGTGGAGTCAAGAACACAAGTACATATTATGTGTTGTTTTGAACCTAAAAACAGATACACAGATATCTTACTGTCAAGACATATTAATTTAAGCACACACACCTCTCCCAGAAATTCACTCTCTTCCTCTTGGACTCTGGGCTGGTCCCAAACAGTGATCTCCAGCATGTGCTCTCTGAAGTCTCTGCGGTGGACGTGAGAATACAGGAACGTCTGGTTCCACTTTGGCTCTGCACTCTTCTTCACTGTTTTCGTCCTTCTTTTGCTCTTGTCACTAGAAGAATGTAATGTGATTATAAGAGCATGTATAGTCTCCAAAATTTTGCAAAATTCTTCCAAAAATCAGCACAAAATGCAACAAAAAAAGTCTGCAGATTCCATTTCCATCTGCTTATTATTCAATTATTGACAAGGAATGTATTTTAGAAACTCAGCAATACCCAAAATGGAAAATGCAAGTCAGATCTTATATTAGAGACCTAGTGCATGGACAAATATTTTATCAAAGAAAGAAAAAACATGCAAAAACATTCCAAATAGTAAAAATAAAAAAACACTAATCTCCAAGGTCACCAATCTACACTACCATTCAAAAGTTTACACTCGGTAATGCTTTTAAAAGTCTCTTCTGCTATCCAAGGCAGTATTTTTTTTAATCAAAAATACAGTAAAAAATAGTAATGTTGTCAAATACTATTACTATTAAAAATAACTGTTTTCTATGTGAATATATTGTAAAATGTAATTTATTCCTGCAGTGATTTTTCGCAGTCATTAATCGAGTCTTCAGTGTCACACGATCCTTCATGAATGCTGATTTGATGCTCAAGAAACATTTCTTCTTCTTATCAATGCTCAACAGCTTTGTGGATACATTTTTTTACCGATTCTTTGATGAATAGAAAGTTCAACAGTATTTATTTGACACAGAAATCTTTGTAACATTATTCACATTATTCACTTTACTGTCACTTTACTGTCAATTTAAAGGGGTCATCGGATGCCCATTTTCCACAAGTTGATATGATTCTTTAGGGTCTTAATTAAAAGTCTGTAGCATAGTTTGGTTAAAATTTCTCAATGGTAGTTTAAAAACACCTTTTTTACCTTGTCAAAAACAGCTCTTTTCAGAGCAAGCCATTTTGTAGCATTTTCCTTTAAATGTTAATGAGCTCTGCTGGCCCCGCCC